GAATGGATTCGAACTCTGGTCCCCAAGTACAAGTCAGCCTTGCTCTTCCAACCACCCAAGTGGAGTCCTCACTTACTTCACAGCAACTTGCGAAGAACAGGACCTTCGTATTCCTGTGCAAGGTAGGAGCTAGGCTGACTTGTAGGAGCAGCACTGGCCACAGATGGGAAGACAGGCCCAGGGAAGGGTCATTACTTAAACTTCCATAACTGGTCTTCTGGCTTTTGTGGTGTTTGGCTACCTCTAACTACTTGAAGATGGCAGTTTCCTCTGGCCTCTCCTGATACTGGGCTGTAAACTTTTTCTTTTAAAACAAAGAAACAAAACACAGCAAAGACTAGATAAGCATTAGACTTGGAGCAAGAAGAAGAGAGATTCTAGTTCGTGATGAATAGTAAGCCAATATGTACTGAATCCCATTACATACTATTCAAAACATTGTTTTTCAGTATTTCTTCAATGAGCGAGACAGAGATAGCATCCCCAACAGGGTCCTCACACCACAGTCCAAGCCCAGCCAGTCCCAGGTCATGGGCATGTATGTCCAGTGTACTCAGGGAGGTTTCAGCTCAAAGCCAGAACCTTCCCATGTGGGTCAGCCTTGCAGAGTGTTGCTTTTTACTGCTATGCTCTCTAAACATTTTATTTTAATAAACATTCAAGTTTGCTATAGGGCACATGTATTCACCAGAAACAGAGGGGGAAAATGAAAAAGCAAGCCACCAGGTCCAGGAATTGAACTGTGGTCTGCCATGTGGGAGTCCAGCACCTTAGCTACCATGTCACCTGCCGGCCACCCCCTCTAAGCATTTTTAATGATTAACTCATTCTATCTAACTCTATGGCAATAGGTATTATCCCCCCGTTTTACACGAGAAAATGGAGGCCCAGAGAAGTTCAGTAACTCAGTATCACACAGCTAGCAAGGACCAGATATTATAACTCTGGTAGGCTGGCTTTGGAGTCCACATGTTTGAGCAATAACCAGCAGGCCAGAAAGGTGGAATAGGCCAGAGCTGGGGGCACCCTTGAGTGGCACCAAGTTCACTGATCTCATGTGAGCACTTCAGTTCTCCTTGTGCCAGCTCTGGACTTCTGCCCTATGAGAAGCCCAGAAAGGTATCTAAAGCCAAGTTCAGGTCTTCCTACCAGAATCTTCTGTCCCCTTGAGGCTGAGCCCACACTCCTTTCCAGCCTAGAAAATCTTGGTATCAGTCTGGAAAGGTCTTTGCTGCTAAGCTGGAAATGAAGGACCATGTCTTAGGTGGCAAATGGATCAGCAGCATAGCCAGCACTGGTATTGACCTACCGGGAAGCCATGCCCATGTGACAGGCAGCGACAGGGCCAGCAGGCTGCCATTCGACCTGTGTTAACTGTACCTGTATGGACTAGTCCTGGGAGGGTGAGTTTTACTGTTATTACGGTACCCTGCAAGGGTAAAACATCACCCCCAACAATTGCAATAAAGCCAATTAGTGCTCTTGTAGGAATGTGGTTCCCTAAGACTGACAGGAGGATCAGGAAGTTTAAGACTCCCCCACCTGTCTGTTTTTAAGCCAAAATTAACATATAGATTAAGTTAGTATAAACCAAATTAGCATTAGAAGCATATGTAGACTGAGTTAGTTTAAGGTTAGTTTTACTTACATACCCCTTGTTAAAGCTACAGGCCTAAGTTAACTCACACTAGCAAAGTCAGCACATTCACCACATAACAGAGACTCAGAGATAAAACAAAAGAACTCACTAATTGACAAGACTCAACAAACAAAATGCAGGAACCCACAGATTTATTAGAGGAAAAAGCCTGGATGGGACAACAGAATAAACAAAGCTGAGGGCTCCACAGAAAGATTAACCATTTTAGCTGGGAGTTCTTATCTAAAGCAACAGGTAGCTTTCAACTACAAAGAGTTTCTCATCTATGTGCTGTTGACTATGAAAAACTGCTAATAAAACATCCTGTGTTGTCTCCGGAGCTACAAGATCATCTTCCTTTCCCATATAAGATCATAGACTCATCCTCTATTGTTGTAATGTATAGATAGTCCATATATTAACTGTGTCTTTACTTAGCAAGACAAGATTTCCATCTAGGTCATTGTAACCAGCAACGTTATCGCCCTGGCCCGGGACTGAAGTTGTCAAACATCCTGCAAGCCCCCTCTTCAAAAGACCCTTCCCAGTCATCAAGATCTAAGAAGAAGATACAGCAGACAAATGGACTTCCTCATCCTGAGAACTGTGATTGACTTTACCTGAGCTAACAAGACAAACAGCATGTTTTATAATTATTGCTTCCATGCTTTGTATACCCTGTTCCTTAGAGTAAATCTTTTACTGCCCCTCACCCTCCTCACTTCCTAAACCTCCCTCAATAAATACGCATGTCCTATTAGCCACGGCGCGGCAGCCTGGAGCTGGCTCTGGCTGTGGCCGGCTGAGAACATGCTAAGGAGCAAAGAGGTCTCAGTCTAATTTGTTGTTTCTGATCACCCGTGTCGCCTTCCTGTGTACGAGCCACCCTCCACTGCCGAGGCCGGACCCCGGCACACACACAAGTGCCTGGCATGATTTTCAAGTTGTAGGATCTGGGACTCAAACTGCAGTCAGCCATGTGGGAGTCCAGCACTGTAACCATCATGCCATCTGCTAACCTCCCTCCCTTATACTTTAAATCATCCCCACATTATTTATAATTCCCAATACATCAATAAATTACTTAGGATACTGTGTACGTGCTGTAGAAGTAGTTCTCCATTATTTAGAATCATTACAAGAAAAAGTCTATACATGTTCAGTACAGATATGACCAAAACCCTTTTTAAAATATTTTCAATTCAGGGTTGGTTGAATCTCATGGGTATGGTAGGCCAACAAATCCTGTCTAAACAGAATTGATACTTTAAAAAATTTATTCATTCATTTTTAATTTGACAGAGAGAAAGGGGAAAGTGAGAAAGTAAGCCACCAGGTCCAAGACTTGAACTGTGGTCAGCCACATAGGAGTGTCTAGTGCCTTAACCACTATGCCACCTGCTGGTCCCCCAGAATTGATACCTCCCCCCTCCATGCTGTTTGAAGTAATTATGAGCTTGTACGATGAAGGGAGGGATAAAAAGAGTTGTGTTGAATGGATTCGAACTCTGGTCCCCAAGTACAAGTCAGCCTTGCTCTTCCAACCACCCAAGTGGAGTCCTCACTTACTTCACAGCAACTTGCGAAGAACAGGACCTTCGTATTCCTGTGCAAGGTAGGAGCTAGGCTGACTTGTAGGAGCAGCACTGGCCACAGATGGGAAGACAGGCCCAGGGAAGGGTCATTACTTAAACTTCCATAACTGGTCTTCTGGCTTTTGTGGTGTTTGGCTACCTCTAACTACTTGAAGATGGCAGTTTCCTCTGGCCTCTCCTGATACTGGGCTGTAAACTTTTTCTTTTAAAACAAAGAAACAAAACACAGCAAAGACTAGATAAGCATTAGACTTGGAGCAAGAAGAAGAGAGATTCTAGTTCGTGATGAATAGTAAGCCAATATGTACTGAATCCCATTACATACTATTCAAAACATTGTTTTTCAGTATTTCTTCAATGAGCGAGACAGAGATAGCATCCCCAACAGGGTCCTCACACCACAGTCCAAGCCCAGCCAGTCCCAGGTCATGGGCATGTATGTCCAGTGTACTCAGGGAGGTTTCAGCTCAAAGCCAGAACCTTCCCATGTGGGTCAGCCTTGCAGAGTGTTGCTTTTTACTGCTATGCTCTCTAAACATTTTATTTTAATAAACATTCAAGTTTGCTATAGGGCACATGTATTCACCAGAAACAGAGGGGGAAAATGAAAAAGCAAGCCACCAGGTCCAGGAATTGAACTGTGGTCTGCCATGTGGGAGTCCAGCACCTTAGCTACCATGTCACCTGCCGGCCACCCCCTCTAAGCATTTTTAATGATTAACTCATTCTATCTAACTCTATGGCAATAGGTATTATCCCCCCGTTTTACACGAGAAAATGGAGGCCCAGAGAAGTTCAGTAACTCAGTATCACACAGCTAGCAAGGACCAGATATTATAACTCTGGTAGGCTGGCTTTGGAGTCCACATGTTTGAGCAATAACCAGCAGGCCAGAAAGGTGGAATAGGCCAGAGCTGGGGGCACCCTTGAGTGGCACCAAGTTCACTGATCTCATGTGAGCACTTCAGTTCTCCTTGTGCCAGCTCTGGACTTCTGCCCTATGAGAAGCCCAGAAAGGTATCTAAAGCCAAGTTCAGGTCTTCCTACCAGAATCTTCTGTCCCCTTGAGGCTGAGCCCACACTCCTTTCCAGCCTAGAAAATCTTGGTATCAGTCTGGAAAGGTCTTTGCTGCTAAGCTGGAAATGAAGGACCATGTCTTAGGTGGCAAATGGATCAGCAGCATAGCCAGCACTGGTATTGACCTACCGGGAAGCCATGCCCATGTGACAGGCAGCGACAGGGCCAGCAGGCTGCCATTCGACCTGTGTTAACTGTACCTGTATGGACTAGTCCTGGGAGGGGAAGGGACGCTCTTGGTCAGACCTATAGCCCAGCACATTGGTGGTCAGCCCAGAGCAGGCACTGATGCACCCCTTCAGCTCAGGTTTAGTGCTGTTGTCTAAGGGAACTCTGGGTTCCCCTCATGAAGACAGCGTGCAGGGCAAGGTGAACATGGGTCATTGGAAGTCGCCAGTCCTCGGGGCATCAGTTGCTGCCAGGTTCCCGATTCCCAGCCAGTGCTGTTCTGACTCGACTGAGTTACTGTTTATGCTCTCAGAGCGTTGCTTGTCCTATTCTCTCTGCCTGGAATGCCACCCATCCTGGCTGAGAGGCAATGGCACCCAAGCTCGGCCTTGGGAGACCATGGACTCTCCCCTGGGGATGTTGAGTGGCAAGTATTTCCAGTGGAGACCACAATTTTGAAAGAACAGAGCTGACTCTATTCCAGTTGTCACAAATAACTCCACACCTGCTTCCAGTAGGTTCAAAACAGTGCTTTATTGAGCCCATTCACTGTGTCACCTTTCCGGGGTTTCTGAGCCCAGGCCTGACTCAGGCTTATAAAGACACCAACTGCTAGGACCAGGACAGCAGCCAGCAGCAGCAGGATGGCCCAGAGGAGAGGCCTCGGGCTGGAGTTCCTGCTGGAACCTGCCAGAAGAAGGGATCTAAGGGTTACCGACCTGGGTGAGGCCCCTCCAATGCCCCTCCATACCAGACCTTTGTAACCACCCAGGGCAAGGCTGATGCTGCCTTTCTGCAGATAAGGTGGCCCTGTCTATCTCTGCTCAGTTCCCCATTGAATGCAGTTACGCCATCTCCTGCCCTCACTATGGCCTGGAGCTTCCCTGTTTTGTCAGCACTCTTTGGTTGAGATGGAGGGATGCTAAGGCCAAACCCACAAGCTCTCGTACCTTTGGGCCCCAGTGTGGGCTCCTGCGTGTAAGAATCTTCAAAGCCCACTGGCCCTGGAGAGCTCACGATATCTTGGGACCTGGCAGTGTCATTATGGTAACCCGATGATCGTCGCTGTCCTGCCCAAGGGAACAGCGTTATCTTGGGGTGATCTCCAGCTCCTTGTGGTCCAGAAACCAGGCATAGGCCTGGGAATGCATGAAAGAAACAATATCCCCCATCCCAGACTCACTTGCAGTCCCAGGGCTACACATAGTTGAGCAAGTCTCCAGTCCTGAGCGGTAGCAGACAGAGGCGCTGCAGAAGAAGTAAACCTGGTGGGAGGAGGAGACCAGGCTGTTAGCTGGCTTTAGGAGCAAGGCCAGGCAGACAGGGGAGGTTCTGGGAATGCTGATTAGAACTGTGATGGCTGCCCTTGCTGATATGGTTCAGAGCTGTATGTGTTGCTTCCTGGTTTGGATCCATGCCTTCCTCCTTCCTCAAGGCTCGTCTGCAGTAGAGTACCCTGCAGGAAGTATCCACTGCACTGGAACACCTCCACCCTCCACAGTGCTGCTCCGCAATACTGCTTGTGGTTGCAGAGCCCCTGGGAGGGCTGCATCACTCCCTTCCACCTGCCCTGAGAAGAGGGGGAAGTCTGAGGAAGTGGGGCTCGAGGAGGCAGCAAGAGACCAATGCCTAGGGGCAGAGGGTCAGATAGGTTATTGCTTCCAGAAACACAAGGGCAAAGGTGACTTGCAGAGGAGAGATTGGTGGGGTTGACCTGATCAACATCTAGCAGGCTCCACCAATGGGCACCCCTTGGCCAGTAGGTCAGCAGGTCTTGGCTCAGGCAGCAGCACACAGCAGGGATGAGAAGGAAGGCACTCTACATCGGCCGTGATAACAGGTAGGGACATGAAAGACAAATACACCTGTGTGTGCTGTGCGGCAGACACGCTACTGTTCCACAATGGCTGTTGCACAGTAGTGTCACCTATGGTGCCGTTGTTTATTGCATGGAAAACCTGAACATACCTTGAGTTTGTCTACTTTTATTTTCTAGAGAAGTTACTGTTATTTTTATTTTTTAATTCAAAGCCGAATTATATCAAACACATTATCGTGTCTACAGTCAGAAGTAAGGTCCACCAAGAACCCATGACCCGTGTTCTGATGTATGGTTGGTCACAGCTGTGCTTGGCATCTTCCTTCCTTCCTCCAGACTAATGTGGCCGGGACCCTGAAATCACTCTTCACAACGCTTTGCAGACATCAAGCCCCATTCTGGAACCCTCACTTGCATTAGCTCACAGGGTGCTAACAGGGATCTGGCAGCCAGCTTATCCCCTCTTAGCAAATGGCCAGGTGCCAGGAATGTGGGTGCTTACCGGTCCCCTGAGGGCTCTCTGGGAGCTGGAGTCCAGGAGGGTGAAGGTGGCAACAGTGAAGCGTTGGTAGTGAGACGAGAAAGGCAGTACCGCCCGGTCCAAGGCTACCATCTGGGTTCTGTAGCTGTCACCCTTGAAAGGGCACCTGGGAAGAGAAGTCATGGAGGCCTCTGGAGGTGAGGCAGAGAGGGAAGGCACCCCAGAGACATTCAGTCGCCTGGACCACTCACCCATCTGACAGAAGGGACCACTGGGGCTGCTGAAAGGGGTTGGTGCTGGGAGTAGCCCAGCACTGGTGCAGCTTCAGGACCAGGTTGGGGTCTGTCCTCTGCAGAAGCCGGACCTCTACGTGGACTGGTTCTCGGAGCAGCCTTGTGATGGGATAGTCTCCCTCCCCATAGTAGGAGCTGAAAGTCTTGTCTGCAGGGAGAGGTGCTCCTGAGCCAAGGGCAGGCCGTGCCGCAGGGCTCAGGAACAAGAAGAGAAGGTGGGTGACATACCCTTGGCGATCCTCAGCTCGAGCCTCAAGGGGCCAGACTGGGTCACAGAGGCAGGTGATGGGGCTGGGAAGATGGATGCCTGGACAGGCAGGAAGTCACTGGCATTGAAGATACAGCGGACATGAAGCCTGAAGTCCAAGTGAAAGTGGTGGTGGAATTAGAGCATCCTGTTTACTTAATAAACTGGCACCAACTGTGTGGATGCCACAGACCATTCACTGAGCTCGGTGGATACTCTGTTTCCAGCGTGGAATGCGTCACTGCCAAGGTGGGCTGAGAAGGCCCGTGCCTACGCCCAGTCCTCTGCCCACCTAGACTTCCCAGTGCAGCTGGAGACCATTATGCCGGGGCCTGTTCTAGGTGCATACAGCTGGATTGAGTTGATGGAGGCCCACCAGGGCTGGCACCTGTATGCTGAGCCTTCCCTGGCTGCCCACAGGTATCTGCCTGGCTCTGATATTTGAGGTTCTTGGAGCTTGCCAGTAAACAGGGTGGCAGACCTGGGCTCGAATCCTCTGAGCATTTATAAGTTGTGGGAACACAAGCCAAGTCACTTGCCCCAAGCCTTAGTTTTCCCATTTGTAAAGCGGGGATGAACCCCTCCAAGAGTTCTAGTGGGGTCTGAGTGAGGGCATAGAATAAGGTCTCAGCGTCTCCTTGCTACCCAAGAGCTGTGGGGGATGGTCAACCATACTCCCAGGCTCCAGGGGGGCCCAGCAGAGTCTAGGTGCTGAGTAGGCATAGTTAGCCCGCCCTGTGCTGATGGTCCCTCTACCTCTGCTGCCTGTCAGTGGAGTCCCAATGGGCTAATGCTGCTTCCTCCTGCTCTGCCTCCCTCTGGAACCCTCACCGTGCCGCATTGAATTTGGGCTCATTCCACAGATCTTAAACCCAAGGATCTAAGGCATGACAGAGTTGTTTCCCATCTCCTGGCCCATAGGCACTTAGTGTCTTAACGACACAGTGCCCTGAACTGGCCCTTATGGCAGGTAGGCTGGGGAGAAGGTGGCACTTGGGCATGCACGTGGTGCCAAGCACGACTACTACAGCCCACAGTCTAGGTGTTCACTCTGCCCGATAGGGCGGCCAGGCTGAGGTTCGGGCCTTGCTCTTGGTCACCCAGGAGCAGTGGAGCCTCAAAGCCAGGTGTAAGGTCACATCCCTTCAGGCCACCCCCACCGACATCCTGGGCCCCTGAGGTGGTTTTGCACCCAAGTCAGCAGGTCTGAGAGGTCCTTTCAAGTGAGGGGGAGTTCTTCCCCCAGCGCCCCTCCCTCCACCACATCCTTAGAGAGCTAGCTTCAGCCTCAGATATCTTCTGCCTCATCTGTAGCTGCAGAGCCCGAGATGAGAAGGGGCCTCAACCTCTTCCTGGGGCTGGACGGGGACACCTAGTTCTTGGAAAGATAAAAGCAGGGCTCTGGGACTCCCATGCTCTCAGGAACCGCTACTGGCTTCTGTCTGAGCCCGTAAGCCTGGCACAGAAGACCCCACTACGTGCTTAATAAGCCTTACAGAGGGGGCAGCTCCTCCCTCGTAGGGGCGGCTGGGGAGAGGTGAGCAGCAGCCGGTCTGTGGTCACACAACCAGGCAGTGGCAGGGCCTGTCCTAAGCTCTCCTGCGCTCCCTCACACCCAAGGCTCTGACCAGCCTGTTGAAGGAGGGCTTCTCTCACCGAAAGGTGCCATCCCGTGTGATGGAGCCCTGTGGGCCCTGCTGGACGTCGGTGTCAGACACCAGCTGGTTCTCATAGATGAGCTGGTTGCCAACCACCTGTGGGAGGAGACAGCCAGGTGAGGCCCTCCCAGGGAGCAGTGCCAGGCCCAGCCCACCGTCCCCACTCCTACCTGGACTGTGGTGCCGCAGCGTGTGAAGGGAAAGTGGAAGACCATGAAAGCACTCGTTTTTTGGACTGGGGGACAGCCGCTGCGGGTGTAGGCCAGGCGGATGTGGGCCAGCGTGATCCTGTGGGTCAGGGCCGTTTCTTTGGACACAACCAAGATGAAGTAGCCATTTCGGAAGCACTGCACAGTAGCTGGGACAGGAGATGGAAGGCTGGTCAGGGCCTTAGGGTGCAGTACCCTTCCAGCACAGAGATACGGGGACAGGCTGGATGGGATCAGTATTTGAGTGTTGGCCTCAGAGCTGGAAGACCTGGACTCAGCTCATGTGAGCCTGACGGGCCGACTTTCCAAGCCACAGAACAGCTGGGTTGAACTCCACCTCATAGAACTTGTCACGCAAGTCAGGGTGTTTTAGACCTAGAGGTACATGTGGGGCAGGTGTGTGAACAGTAGTTCCCTGGGACAATTGCTAGCCCGCAAGCTAGGATGGGTGGCTACCTCATCCACCTACAGGCTGCCCTGGAGTCAGGCTCTCCTGAAACAGGACGTGAAGCAATTTCAGCCCATGGGAGGCGGCAACTCTGCTGCTTCGGGAACCAGGGGACCAGTGTGTGGGGGGGTGTACCTGTGTTGCCATAGTAGCAGGGCACCTCTCTAGTGTGGTCATAGCAGCAGCCAGCCCGCTCACAGGCTTCCTTTGAATTTCTTTTCACTGTACAGGGGATGTGCCCGGAGGCCACCTGGCACTGTGCCCGAGTCAGGTGGGTACCTAGGGTTGGTGGCAGAATGGCTTATTAGAGAACAGGAAAAGCTTGTTAGGCCACCTCATGTTCTAGAGGGCCCTAGACGCAGAGGGCTCTTCTACACAGAGAGGTCCTGTGTACCTATGGTATCTGCCTGGTCCACCTCCTGGTACTCCGAAGTGACTCTTTGGAGTGGAGTCGAGGTGGGGAGGGTAGGCTCGAGACCAAGGGCTGGTGAAGCAGGGGTTGGATGGACTGGGCTCTGTTCTACCAATAGTGGGTCGGGGGAGACGGGGCCCAGGCCTGGGGAGGCAGGGTCCGAGACTGTGGTAGTTGGTGTCAGCTGGGTGTCCAGAGTCCCGGCATGAGCTGCCCTGGGTTTGGGACAGATCAGAGTGGTTTCTTGCACTGCATCGACACGACCATCAGGGAGCTCAGCTTCCATGAACACCCTCAGGTGCCAACGCCCGTCCTGCAGGTGAGAGCTTCGTAAGAGAGCAGCCAGGGCCCACCCAGGGGAGGCTATGTCTAGATACCCAGTCAACCTGAACACACCAGGCTCCCTCACACCCCTGCGATCCTAGCCAGCCGGGAGGCTGTGGGAGATTGTGCAATGGGGCGAATGCTGTGGAGGCCTGTCCTTTCCTCAAGATACACAATCTCAGAGAGTGAGCACATCCACAGCTGGGTGAGGCCACTTAGCATCCCCATCAGAGGAGGGGACAAGGGCTGAGCGGGCTGCCAGGTAGGGGGCAGCATTTTGGGAGGTCCCAGGAACTACTGCCCAGACAGTCTTCCTCACCCACCAACTTGCTCCTGAGCCCGGTTTTGGCCTTCCCTGCTGGACAAAGCGTCCCTCTAACCTGACAGCCTGTTACGATGAGCTTGCCCCTGGCCCCGAGTGAATGAGCCCTACCTTCTCCAGCACGTGGCAGCCTTTGTAACCAGCCGAGAGGACTGCTGGCTCCTGGGGCTGGGAGGTCACCCAGTGGTAGCAGATGGAGCAGTTGTTTGCCTCGAACCGGTTCCCAAATTCATCTGGGATAGGAGAAGAGGAGAGAGGGAGGGAGGGAGGGAGAGATGAGAGGTCAGGGATGCTAAAGGGTGAAGCAGAAGGTTGCAGGGGTCTGCAGAAAAGACTCCCTGCTCGAAACTAGCAGTTAGCGTAATGGCTATGTCACTGGACTCCCACGTAGTCGACCATGGTTTGAGTCCCAGACCCGGTGGCTTAAACTCATACCAGGTGGTGCATGTGCGTGCGTGTGTGCCCAAGATCCCGAGAGGAGAACGGAGAAGGGATTGCGGCGTGGCCATCCCCCCCCGGGAGGTGATTTTGTGCTCTCTCTTTCGGTACTATAGGAAAAAACTTTTTTTTTTTTTTTTTAAAAAAAACAAGAAACAAAAAAAACCCTCCCCGCTCAGGAGATAGACCAGCTTCCAGCCTCAGCCGTGCTGTAGTCCCTCTCTGGTCTCAGTTTCCACATCTGTAAGAGGGTCGGTAGTTTGGGGGAACTTCTGAGCTAGGGTTCCTGAGGATAGCGCGCAGCAGTAGGTAAGTGGGAAGACGTGGCGGAGGAAAGATAAACCTGGTCTTGGGCCCCAGGTGGAGTATTTCCCGTGATTTTAGAATTCAGCTTAACTATCTGCATTCTATGGGGGACAGCTGCGGATGGAAGGGAAGGTGCGTGAACTTCCTCAGGGACACGCAATGAGGAGTAGGAGGTGGACTTGAACCCTGTGTTTCGAGGGAAGAGCCGAGTCTATTTGCCAGTGTAACTGGCTATTGCAGTCACGTGGGGACCTACTAGGTGTTCACCCACCTTGTGAGACTGGGACAACCAGGGCACGGCCTGGGCGTGTGCCCAGACCCTTGTGCTTTGTGTGTGGTGAGGTTTGGATCATCTTCCCCTTCGTCCAGGTGGGGAAAGAGAGGCCAGGTCAGTTGCCCAAGATCTCGCAGCTTAGAAACTGCAGATTCAAACTTTTTTTTTTTTTAAAAGAGATTTTTGCTGTACGGTGAGTGTGCTCTCCTGAGAGACAGAAACAGAGAAATCACTCCTCACAGGGGTGGTCACACCCCAATCCCTTCTCCTCCATTCTCCTCTTGGGATTTTGGGCATGCACACACGTGTCTGGTGTGCGTTTCAAGCTGTTGGATCTAGGACTTGAAGTGCGGTCAGCCACTACACCACCTGCTGGTCCCTCAAAGCTCATTTTTTTTTTAAAGACTTTATTTATATATTTTTAACTTGACCTGAGTGAGGGCAGAGATAGAAAGTAAGAAAGCAAGCCACCAGGTCTGGGACTCAAACCATGTGGGAGTCCAGCACCTTTAACCACCATGTCACCTGCTGGCTCCATCCCGATTTTTAAAAGAGAGATGTTTGCTATAGGGTGTGGGCACTTGCTGGAGAGACAAAGAGAGATGGGGAGACAGAACGTGATACATCACCGCTCCCGGGGGGGGGTTATGGCCATGCTGCAATCCCTTCTCCATTCTTTTCTTGGGATTTTGAGCACGCACACACATGTGTCTGGCATAAGTTTTAAGCTGCTGGGTCCGAGACTCGAACCACGGTTGAGTATGTGGGAGTCCAGTGATGTAACCCCTTTGCCATCTGCTGATCCCTCCAGCCCCCATTCTAAACTCACACCTGTCTTCTCTGCACCAGGACACATGTACGTCTCTGCAGTTGCAGAGCCATTTGTGGACCGGCAGCCACGGCATCAACTGGCTTTGGCTAGAAACGCATTCCTCATCTGGCCCCAGCCCTGTGGGCAGATCACAGCTCCCCACCCAGTTCTGAGGACCAGGGAGATTGAGGCTGGCCACTCTCCCCCCAGTTCCCACCATGTGTAAGGGGGTGGGGAGTAGCCACCTCTAGCCCCTGCTCGGGGGAGGGTCTCAGCTCCCTCCTCACTGCAGTGGACAACCCAGGGAAGTGGAGCTGGACCTGGTCGCACTCACCCACCACCTTGAAGCGGACAGTCTGGCCTGGCCGGGGGAACACCAGCAGCTGCATGCCCTTGATCCCACAGTCATAGCTGTGCTGCAGACCAGGCTTGGGGTGTGACCTCTGACCCAGCCCTGGGGCGGCCGCCATGAGCAGTAGTAGGACCACACAGTGACCACAGGCCATGGCTAAAGCCCAGTCCATCGGCTCCACCACGGACAATCACCCTCACTACCAGAACAAGGCCCAGGCTTTTTATAGGGGAGACAGCAATTGGGAGCCTCTAAGGGCAAAAGGTGCCCACCTCCCACAGGTGAGCACCAGCTGGCCACCAGGGACTGTGGTAAAACTCCATGCTAAAAGGCAGGGGAAGTCACCCTCCCAGCCTGGGGCCCCGGGGGGCTGCTCAGAAAGCTGCCCTTGGCCCCTGATCCTGGCTGTGGGCCTCCCAGCTGGGGCTAGATGCATGCTCAGCAGGATTGTGTCTTTGAGGAGGGGCTGAGGGAGATCTCCAGGAAAGGTGAGGCTGCAGGTGGGCTGGAGGACAGGATCCCTGGCTGCGAGGTGGCCCTGCAGGCCTGAGGCTCATTACAGTGCCGGTCTCCCTACCAAGCCCCTCGCATTCTCTGCCTGCCCAGGCAGGCTCTCCAGGGCCTCCTGCCTACAGGGGTCTCAGAGCCACTGGGAGCTGCAGGCCCGTTGGTTAGCAGGTGGAGTGCAAGCTCAGGTGTGACCTGCCCATTAAGTCTGGCTGCTGCTTCTCCCGGTCAACGAAATGAGAGGCAGAGGCTGGAGAAGGGGGTTTTTGTCTGTAACCAGTTATAGGAAGGTAATTCCCAAGTACCATCAAACTGTTTCAAAGAGCTCATGGGCTCAGTACAAGATGCAAGCACGTGCAAATAGTTTCTCACTACAGTCAGAGTCAATCGCTTTCTGCTGAGTAAGTATCCTGAGTCCTTCAGGTACCCATGGGTTTCTCATCTGACCATGCCTCAAACAGGTCTCCCTATGACTCAGCACTTGGTCAGATTGTTCTCATTAGAGGCCTTTCTTAATTCCAAAATGGCTGCAGTCCGGCTAAACCTTAGCTGGCCTGCTTCACAGGTAGACGGGATGCCTGCCCTGAGCACCTGAGAGCTCACAGGTGTGCAAAGGGACTAGCAGTGCCTCCCAGGGGTCTCCTGAGGGTCAGCCAGGGACTATGGCAACAGCTGTCACTGATACAAAAGGAGGAGAACAGGCAGCGGTGAAATGGGACGTGGCATCCTGGATGGGGTCATGGAACAGAAAAAGGACATTAGGTACAAGCAAGGAAATGGAATTTGGTTGAAAACAATATACCCATGTTTGTTCATGACTTTTAATAAATACACCATAATCATTATGATGTTAATTATAGGGAAAATTGAGGGCGGGAATATGGGTACTCTGTACTATCTTAGTTTTTCTGTAAATCTACAACAGTTCTAAGAAATAAAGTCTATTAAAAACAGTGGTCATGGGGCCAGCAGGTGACTTAATGATTAAGGTGCCAGATTCCCACATGGACAATTCCAGTTCAAGTCCCAGAACCTGCCCCTCTAAACTCATGCCGGTTACATGTATGTGCATGTCCAAAATTCCAAGAGGAAATGGAAGAGATGGGATTGTGGCATGGCCATCTCCCCTGGGGGGTGGTATCTTGCTTTCTGTTTCTCTGGGGAATCCATACGCCCTATAGCAAAAATCTCTCAAACAAACAGACAATCCCCAGGAGAGGACCACAGTTCTGCCCCAGGGCAGAGTTCGCTGGGTGCCAGGCACAGTCTGAGGCCTTAATTGTGGTAGCTCCTCCCCCTGCCCAGCCATTCTCTGAGGGAGTTACTGTCGCCTCCTCATTTATCGCACTAGTTCCCGCGAGCGATGAGTAGGGGTGCAGCAGGTGTTGAGAAACCTGGGTGCTTATGGTTTGTAGCAGCGGGGGAGTGTGCAGCGTAGTCGTCGAGAACTGGTCCCGGCCCAGCCCCTGCCTCTTACTAGCTGTCATCCGGGAGGCATCATTTCTTCTGAGCTTTGGTTTCCGTTTATAAATTGGGGATGATAAGGCTTGCCTCCAAGGGTTGGAGGAAGACGGAGAGAGACAGATGGCGGGCGTATAAATAATGGTGGGGATGAGGTGTGCTCGGCAGGGATGAACTGTGACTGCAGGAGCTCACCTGTGGATGCCTGGAACGAAGTGGAGAGAGGCTTCCGTGGAGTGGAGATGGGATTGTGGCATGGCCATCTTGCCTGGGGGGGTGGGGTTACCGGAAGCGTTTCAGAGGATAGGAGTCCTGAGCAGAAGCAGAGGAGCTGGCGGACACAGGAGCCGTGCGGGGTGGGGGCAGTGATTGGACCGAGGCAGAGGGAGTATGGCAGGAGCAGGGACAGAAGCAGCTTCAGCTGGCTGGGGCTGCTGGAGAGGGAAGAGCTGGGGTGGGGAGAGAAGAGGCTCCAGAGAGGAAAACAGCTAGTGGGGAAGACTTCCTCATGGGCATTGTGGAGGTTTTAAACCTTTTATTTTGAAATAATTTCAGGCTTACAGAAAAGAATATCCATATTAGCCTTCTCACAGACTCCTCAGGTGTCAACTGGGAACATTTTACATTTTTTCTGGCCATCTCTCTCTGTATGCTCACATACACACACATGCAACACACACACACATACAACACACACACACACACACACACAACACACACACATTTTCATCCACACCATTTGAGGGTTGGTCCAGACATAATTGATTACACTTTACCCCTCATTACCCTAGTGTGAGTTAAAAAAAAAAAAACTACAGTAAAATGATCAAAATCAGAAGTCAATATTAGTATAAACATAATTTTCTCTTTTAAAGTAATTATTTAATTTAATTAATTAATTTAAATTTGACCAGAGAGGGACAGAATGAGAGAGAGAGAGAGGGAAAGAGCGAAAGCAAACCACCAGGTGCAGGACTTGAACCATGGTCAGCCACGTGGGAGTCCAGCACCCTTAACCACCATGCCACCTGTCAACCCCAGTATAAACATAATTTTCTAATCAACACCCCTTATTCAAAGTTCACCTATTATCCTAATAACGTTTTTTATAGCAAAGGAGAACATTTCTTCCTAGCGTTGGATTCAATACAAATGAGGAAGTGTCCCTTCAGCATCTGTCCCTCTGGGACAGGCACTCTGTCTTCCTTGGGTTTTGGGGAGTACAAGCCAGTCACTTTACAGAATGGCCTTCAGGTATTTCCACGTGATTAGATTCAGGTTACATTGGCAGCTCAGGTTGCTGTAACAAAATTGCACAGCTTGAGTGGCTTAAACCACAGATGTTCAGTTTTTCACAGTTTTGGAGACTGGAAGGTCCAAGATCAAGGTGACAGTCAGTCTGGTGTCTTTTGGCTTGTAGATGCCCGCCTTCTGCCTGTGTCTCTGTGTGGCCTTCCCTCTGCTCACAGACCCTGGCGTCTCTCTTGCAGGTTCAAATCTCTTCTTACAAGGATACTAGTCGGATTGGATCGGGCATACACTAATGACTTCACTTTCACTTATTCACCTCTTACAAGGACCTACCTCCAAATATAGTCCCATTCTGAGGGGCTGGGGTTAGGGCTTCAGCATATGAATGTGGGGGGACATGATTTAGCTCACAGCAGGCAGGAACAACCCAGAAGTAATGTTCTGTCTTTCTCAGTGCACTCTATCAAAGAGGCACCTCATCCTGGTTTGTCCTGTTACTGCGGGTGTGACTTTGATCACATGGTTCAGGTGGTGCCTGTGAGGTTTCTCCCTCATCTGTGAATTATGTTTCTCTCTGTCGTTTTGGAGCATCGTATCGGGAGATACTCTGAGACTTGGTACTTACCTGCTCCTCCTCGAACCCCACCCACTAACTAGTGTGGTGACTGTGAGCGGTGGTTCTCTAACCCCTCAGCCCTCCTACACGTCTTTGTTTTCTATTGTAAGAGGGAGCTCTTCCTGATACGGGGTTTTAGGTGGCAGACAGGACATCAGCTGGGGACGTCACAACATCTGAATTTTGTTTGGTTCAGAAGAGGGGTTTTGGGATATCACTGACCTGCCTTTTTTCCCCCCCAACATTTGGAAAATAATAATGAGAAGGATTGTGAGGGGTGGGCTTAGAGAACATTTGGAGAGATGTTTCCTAACAGATCATGGGTGGCGGGGGCGGGCCCTCCAAGGCCCCAGAAATGGGCAGGAAAATAGAGGGGAGCATCCTCATGGCCATGGGCAGAACAATGGCTTGAGAAGATAGTGTGGGACCAGCAGTTAGCATAATGGCTATGTCACTGAACTCCCATATAGTCGACCGCAGTTCAAGTCCTGGACCCGGTGGCTTAAACTCATGCCGGGCGCGTGTGCCTGTGTGCCCAAGATCCCGAGAGGAGAATGGAGGAGAAGGGATTGCGGCGTGGCCATCCCCCCGGGGGATGATTTTTCACTTTGTGTTTTTCTGTCTCTCTGTCTCTCTTTGTCTCTCTGGCAAGCACACGCGCCCTGTAGCAAAAACTTCTCAAAAAAAAAAAAAATGAGAGAGAGAGAGAGGATAGAAGATAGTGCAAACTCTCCCGGAGAGACGGAGTCCTGAGCTCTTGGTTGTGACTCCACATTCTTGCAGACTCACGGGTGCATAAGCTCATTGGCCCGGGAGGGATCCCAGCTCCCCTGCTCACCAGCTGGAGACCTTGGGAAACTCACTTACCCGCTGTGTGACTGGCTTTCCTTATCTGCAAAATGGGGCCAATACCGCACCTAGCTCACGGGGTAAGGTGGTAATAGTAGCATAGGCGTTACTACTGGGTTGCTCTGAGGAGGAAACGGGGTGAGGCGCATGAAGCCTGCATGTGGTAATCATTTGGACCCGATGGCCATTACAACCATGTTATTTTTATGAAAATATGAGGAGGCAGGGTCAGACTGAGGGCACTTGACTTGGAATCCTGCCTGTGTACACGTGGCTGCTTTCCAAAACTCACTTTGTTCCTTTCTTCCTTTCTGGTTTAAACATTTTTCTTTTTCTGTTTCTTCTTTCCTCCTTCCTTCCCCTCCCCCCCAGTTTCTTTTCAGTTTCTTGCCCCCCCCCCATAGGGCACATGTGCTCACCAGAGAAAGACAGAGACAGTGAGAAGGAAAGTGAGAAATCACCCTCCAGGGGGATGCCGCAATCCCTTCTCCTCCATTCT